CAGACTGGACGATGGCGGCACTGCGGTGTCGTTTCTCTCTTGGGAGCGTCGTTTTGTGGAGTAGCGCTGGAAGTCAGAGGCAAGAGGTGGAGCGGCTTCGTCTTGCACGGAGCTTCGGTGGAGATGTCAAGTCATGCCTGACCGATAGGTGCTACGCTTGGTCATGCCTGGTCGGCAAGTGCTATGCACGACAGATCCTCCAAGGGCTTCAAGCCGTGTCGGCTGGTGGTACGTGGCAGCATGGTGCTGAGGTGTATCAGTGGCGACCGCGACGTGTATAGCTGTTTGCGCGCAGGGAGGAGGTGCCGTTGGGCGCCGTGGTGGCGTCGACAATAGCTGGACCGATCAAGGTTGATGCATCAGTACAGTTCTGAAGAGGGAGCGGTGGCAGTTGGCGGCGGCGGCCTCTGAGAGCACGCTGGACCAGTGTGTGCCCCCGACCCGGCAAGTGGCTAGGTTGGGGTCTCAGGTCTTAGATGTTAGGCTTGGCTGCGATGTCTGTTTGGTATTAGGCCCAGGCTATCTGCGCCCCTTCATCAACGGGATAGGTGTAGCGACAGTTTGTTGCTTAGACGGCGGCTTTAGTCTTACCGTTGTATGACTTTGTAAGGTCTTGTGAGAATAATTAATAAAGTGGCCGTATGCATCGTCCAGATGCAGAGGCCGGGGGTCATCCTCCTTTTCTAAAAAAAACATCAAAACACCTACACATCAAAAAATATAATTCAATGAATCCTACAGCAACATGATATCTAACTTGATCAATCATGGGTCATTGAAGTGAAATTGTTGAATGACGGCGTGTAGTGTGAGATTTGGGTTTACAAGTCTTACCATCGGTGGAATTGTTGAATGAATTCACACACTCAGTTCTGTGACAACCAAATATGTTGGCATCGGAATCCAGAACTGAATTCTGTGAAATTCGACCCAAATGACGGGTGCGAGACAAGCTGTTATTCTTATTTCAGGTAGCTAGTTACTTGAGCTCCGCATGGTTGATATAGGAAGTAATTTGGGGGCCAAATTAAGAAAATCCATATTTTGTTTTAAAAAAATTGTATTTACGGTGTAAATTAAAATAAATACATTTTGTATTAAACTTTTCTACTTCTTATGACCTATTTGTAATGTACGGTAATCTTAACAAATATACTTTTTATTTACGTGGTATATTTAACACCATACATTTTTTGTTACTTACTTGAAAAAAAAATTGTTATAGAATTCTAATACATACCATTAGGAATTTTCCATTATGCTATATTTCAACTGTATGCCGCAAAAGATATTATAAAATTAATTTAAAACAATTCTATAGAAAATATAGTGTAAGTGGTTGTGTTTGTTTATATATTAATATCTTTAAGTACCATGGTAGATACCTTCAATCATAAAACCTAGTAAGTATTGTAATAGTGGTTTCTAGTGTATGATTATGCATGCAATTCATTAAAACTTTCAGTACCAAATTGAGCCATTGGCAAATGTGTCTTACTAGTTGGGTTACTTAATAAGTTCACGGTATGTGTGCCCACTATACTTGCTATTGTAATATCAATGCTTAATAATCACTGGTGGATATAAAAATGCAACATATTCTATTTTTCATGTACATGCGATTTGATCATTTGATATGCCGCCCTACAATGCGCTTGGTTTCATGGTGTACACACGATTTTTTTTTCTGCTTTCTCACATAAATGGTATGCATGGAATTAAACATGAAAAACAGTTAGCAAAGCATAGATACATAGTGTCTGCTTGAGAGAGACTAGTAATCTAACTAAACTAACCATCACAAGTTAGACTGGGTTGTTTCTATCTGGTACATGCAAACTTGCACATGCTCATGATGTAAACTTGCACATGCAAATTAAACAATTTTATGTTTGTAAATTTAATTTAAAAAATCATGTATTTAAACAGTTCTAAATTGTTTTGGCATATTTAATAATAGTTTTAAATATATATTTGATGTAATGGACATAAGCATGGGTGTTACCAACAAAATATGTTGTTGGTATTTTTCTCCTCTAGGGGCCCGGGATGGTCCCCTTTGTTGGTCTATGGCTTGCCAAAAGATGGTTAAGGGTATGATTGGTCTATTACCATATTTTGGCTAGCTAATGTGTTGATGAAAAATAAATAATCCTACGGGGCTCCACTTGTCTCACATGGCTAGTGAACAGAAGTCAAAGTTGATCAATAAGGTGCAAGAAGGTTAATCGAAGTCCATCTCACTCAACAAGGCACATGGCATTCAACAAAAGTTCAAGCAAATTTTCATCGTCAACAAGTCAAATATGATGTCAAAATAAAGGGTGAAGTCAACAACATAGGTAAGAATCAAATCAACCTAAGTATAAATAGGTCAAAGTAGCCAAAGGCTCATGGATGCATCAATGAAGGCTAGTGGTGCACCATGCACTATGGATTCCCCCTCCTTTGACTAGTCTTCATGGACACATGGGCCTAGACTTATCATCTACCGCTCCTACCTACCACCAGCCTTGTCATTTGTTAAGGCACCGTCTCCTATGTAAGGCGCCCCATGGGTATGTAACTCATTCACTCTCACTTAAATAAACTCAATGGGAATGCACTATTGCTATTGGCCCTTTCAATAGCCTCAAGTGGTGTTATGGTCGAGTTCATGGAGTCACCTTATAGCTCGGATCTATTTAGATGCTAGTACTTAATTATGATGGGGAGCATAGAAGATTATTGCACGAAATATGCTAAAATATGAGGGAAGGAGGAGAAGAAGCCTGGGCCCAATGCCGATTTAATTGCTCGTTTTTCTGCTGGGATGGTCTATGTGTAGGGATAAAACAACTCTGTTTTTTTATTTACTAGTAAGCTTGCACGTGCAATGCACGTAATTACGTAATTGTTTACCACTTCATGGTTAAGGTTTCATTGTCGTGTGTCAAAATAGACCATCTTGGTATTGCTGCTCGGGTGTTAGAGGGACTGTGGTATCCTCAGCCTACCAGGGTTCAAATCCTAGTGCTCGCATTTATTCCTGGATTTATTTCAGGATTTCCGACGATGTGCATTCAGTGGGAGAAGACGTTCCCGTCGATGACGAGGTGCCTATGTTGACTTCGTAAATTTCAAGATGATATTGCTGGCTCAATCTTTCGGAGGTGTTCATAGGGGTAGGGTGTGCGTGTATGCGTTCATAGGAGTGAGTGTACGCGCGTGTATATGAACATTTGCGTCTGTACTATGTTTCAAAAAGTTGAAACATTTCTATATTATCACCGCCCTCTTCCAAACATCCGAGTTTCTTCCTTGTAGGGCTCGTAGCCTCGTGGGTAGAGTGATTATTACAATCACACTTGTTTCTTTTTTATGGGCGCAATCACACTTGTTGAAGTAAACCTCTTACACAGGTCCTTCCATGAGTCTACCCATGGATGCCATGTGTTACAAGGGAAACGCTTGGCATCACCTGACGTATAGCATCGCTTGTGTATATCGACATTCCTGCACTACACGTGCCCAAGTGAAGCCCTCCCATTGCTCGTTCCCCATATTTTCTCTTTGGCATAGATCTCCTACACACATTTCTCTCTCCCTCATTCCGGTCTCCTTTGTCACAAAGAGGGTGCCCATGGCAGCACACCTTCCTATTATAATCATGTTCCATGTTGATTTCACCACCACTCCTTGGTTTCCTCTTCCTTCCGAAATCTCATCATTTTTGCCATCCAATGGCTGCCGGGGCGGCTGATCCGATCATCACTTGGCCCACGCCTATCGCACGCCATGCACCAAAATTAGCCAGCAACAATTCATTATAGTATCAATAACACTCTTCAATGTGAGTACACTCGATAAATCTCACCGATTCTTGGAGCTCTTAGTACAAATATATCGTAAATCAAACATAGATTACTTGACATCAATTGACATTACAAAAAAAGGAAAAATAGAAAGGGAGCCACAAATAAGAACTACACAACCAGACATATAGTCATGAAATATATCACAAATAAAAAAAGTACCACCTGAAAGGCTGGCAAATTTTGAAACATAGGAAACACCTAGAAATTACTTGTTGATGCTCACCCACCGTTGTCCCCATCTTGTGCATCTTGCAGCCGCGCTTAATCAGATTATCCATGTCATCTTCTCTCAAGTTTGATGCTATTGCATAATAGAAGGATATATATTGTTTATGGTTATTTCCTATCTCGAAACATTGTTGCCACTCTAACAAGATTTTCTCAAGTCCTCGCAGCTGATATATCATGCAAACTAATCGCAATGTTCCCTGCCAACAACTAAAGAGGGCGGAAAAATTACAAACTGAAAAATTATCATGCGTGGTCCGTGATAACTATTGAATATGAATTCTTGACCTTCTGAAAAGACTTCTTCACTGCACGTCATTATTTATATAAAGCATACAGAGAGCCACATAAGTGAGATGTTAGTTCATCATGACATTCACATACTACCGTATAACAATGCAGTGTATGTGTGACGAAAGGATAATAACAAGAAAATATAATGTTCTACTGTCATTTACATAGTTCACATCAATTTACGAAACGTGCCGTATGTAATTGCTGCGGTGCTTCAAACATGATGTGTAAAAATGAACTGCAAATGAACTGTACACAGATCACAACTATACTAATATGATCCGAGCTTCTCCATGTCATATGGCATGAACAACCTCTGTATGAAGTACATCACAAGAGTATAAAACACATATTTTAGAGGAGACAAATTAATGTCTTGCTATGGACACAAGTACCTAGCTTCATTTTGCATTTAGTCATTAATCAACACAAATCACCATGAATCAAAGATCTGGCTCCAGCATATATATATATATATATATATATATATATATATATATATATATATATATATATATATATATATATATGTGTGTGTATGTATGTATGTATGTATGTATGTATATGTATATGTATATGTATACTTGGTGCATTTGAATGCAAATCCTCGTATCAACCTATCTAAATACCTGAAGATTTACAGCTTGGCAGTTCAGGAGGCCAATGACCACACAAAAGCCTCAGTTCTTCATATGAGTTATTTCTGAAAATTGAATCCAAAAATCATGTTAAGTGAATTGGGCATAGTCAACTGGGAATAAGCACATAAACTAACTCTCCAACTATATTGACGAAATTGATAAGCTTAAAAAACACATTTCGGAAGAGAACATAAAAAGGAGATGAATGCTCACTTGTATACACATTTAATTTCTTAGTAGATGTTTTCATTCAATTCCCAGTGAGCAAATGTCAAATTGTTAGACAATGTCACAACTTCGTGAAAATCATTCTGAATACATCTACAAGCTGTAGCTCCCCATATAAGCATAGGCTAGCAACTTTGAAAATACATTAATATTAAAAGCTATAGCTCCGAATACGATGTATAATCCGATGCTTATTGCCTGTCTCAGTCGAGTCACCGCAATCTGCACGTCCTCCACCAGCCTCTCCCTGACGGCGCGGCCATAGAACAGGGCCACCCCCTCCTCCACCATGGCCTCACAACAGCAACACAAGCACGTGGTGTGCGCACTCCGATAACTAAATCTTGCGCACAACAGCAGATGTTGGCGAATAGATGGCAGCTAGTTGACACAAAAAGACAGGGGGAATGCAAGTATGGACCTGCAAAAATTTAGAGAGATTTGTTGGTCCTGTCCCTGACCCTGCTACTGCCTCTGTGGAGGAAAAATACAGAGAAAAGCAGTGTAAACAGCTCGTGTCTGCTACTACTGCCTGTGCACCACGCATTCAGCCAACCGACAGCTCGTCCATGCCACATACGAACCTCGACCGCAGTCCGCGCTGGCCCTTCACCTCCGGCCGCTGCACTCCCTCTGGCCACTAACCCTGCGCTCCCTCAGCCCGCCGAGCCGCGCACGCCGCACAGTGGCCATCGCGCCTCGCTACGCCCGTGCCTCAGAGGAGAGACGTGAAAGTGAAACACCATAATGGGAAGGGCGCAGCGAGATGGACATGAGGCGGCGGCGGGTGTGTGGGGAGGAACCTACCTGCGGCTGCGGGTATAGTGAGGTGAAATGCCTTCCCAGGAAACACTCCTTGCCTTCACATACACCTGACGAAGCAAACAAAAGCCATGGCAAATCAATCAAGGAACCAGGACAGGGAGCACCGGGGGAGAGAACCACGGGGCACGGGGAGAGAGGGGGGCATACGGTGTTCTTGATGGAGTCGGTGACGACGATGGCAGTCGGAGACGACACTGACGGCGACGCTCCACTCGGCGAAGAGGTGGCCGTCGGCCGCGGCGGGACGGTGTCAGACGCGGATGCGGGACTTGCCATGCCTACCCAGGAGGTCGAAGCGTCCGACCATAGATGGGGATCCGGTCTGTGCTGGGGATCCCCTCCAGCGTGCGGCTAGCGCCGAACTGCGGCAGGGGACGGCGAGCACTTCGGCCTCCCCCTCCTCCGCTCGGCCACCATCCGTGTAGGCATCTGGTGCGGGGCAACGGTTCCAGTGGTGGGCGGAGTGTGATTTTCTGTAGCTCAGGCTATACGGTACCCTTTATCTTTGTCATCCATTTATGCATCAAGATCCGTGCAAAGAAATTTGTCTTTTTTGTTTCTCTCAAACGACACAACATATGAACTTCAAATTTTGCAGAACAACAATACATTCTAACTACAATATAGGAAAAAACTTTCAGATTTTTTCATGCATTTTAAATACTTGAAATAATATTTTTATTCAAAGAAAATCTCATTTTGTATATTTATATCAGACCAAAAAATCTGAAAGTTTTTTCACACATTAATGTTCTAATGTTTGTTCGGTCTGCAAAGTTTGAAGTTCATATGTTGTTTCATTTTCGAGAAACAAAAAAGAGAAATCTTCTTGTTGTTAGTTAGTTGGAGAATACGGATCTCAAAGCAAGGCTGGAGAGTTGAGGATAAGAGGTTCCATGTAACCTGAGCTACAAAGAAACTTTGTGGTGGTGAGTGTGGTTACAAAGAAACTTTGTGGTGGTGGGCGTGGCCGCGTGAGGGTTTCTTTGTTTCCTCCCGTCCCAATTTCTCCATGCTCGCCGGATGAACGACGCCTTACCATGGCTGGCCACCTTTCCCTCTCCCGGTCTCTCCCCATCGTGGCTCGTGTGCGTGGTGACGACAGGCATCTCGTGCGTCCCCGGCGGTGGCTTGCATAGTAGCGGCGGAAGGGTTTCTACTGGGAGGGATTAAGTGGAGAAGGTCGGCGCTAATCACGGGAGAGGTAGCGAAGGTCGGCGCTAATCACGGGAGAGGTAGCGAAGGTCGGCGGGGTGGGGGTATGGTCAGCCAACGTAAATTGCTAAATGTACACGTAGAACGGATTAGATGAAGGCTAGCGGTTGGATTAAGTTTAATGGGCCTAATCCCGCGGTAGTAATGGGTTCGTGTATATTTATGGGGTGCGTTTAAAAAAGTTTACGTTTGATTGTTTATTAGTAAAGTAGAGATTTGAAAAAAAATCACAAATTGAAAAAAACTTCATCAATTTGGAAAAAGATGTTCATGAATTTGAAGAAAGTTCACAGATTAAAAAATCGTAGATCTGGGGAAACAATCATGAATTTAATTAATGTTGTCGGATATGAAAAGTTCAAGGATTCAAAAATAATCACAAATTTAAATTTTTTGAATGATTTAATGACGTTTATGGATTTGAAAAAAGTTTGCAAGATTTTTAAAAAATCATGAATTTTAAAAACTTTCATTGATTTGAGAAAAGTTCAATTTTTTTAGAATTCATGAATTTTTTTATTTTTTTCATTTTGAAAAAGCTTAGGATTTTTTTTATGAATTTGACGTAATGTAGTCAAAAAATGAAAACACAAAAAGGAAGAGAACGAAAAAGGAAAAAGAATAATAAAAACCTAGAAAGGAAAACTGAATGAAAAAACATAAAGAAAACCAGACTAGGAAGCTACTAGAAGCTTCCCAAAACCGGGTCACACTAGCGGCTCGCAAACTCCGCACGTCCACTGGGAGCGTATAAAGCAAACAAGAAAAAATGGGCCAGGCCAGGACGGAGAGGGGGGAGGGGCGGTGCATAAACAATAGCGCTAAATAGCGAATCAACCTGTGGTTGAGATGGTTAGGTGGACAATGGTATCCCCAATTCACCATGGTTCAAATCCTGGTGCTTGCATTATTCCTGGATTTATTTCAGGATTTCCGGCGATGCGCTTTCAGTGGGAGGAGACGTTCCCGTCGACGACGAGGCGCCTACGGCGACTTCGTAAATCTCAAGATGATGTGTCAGCTCAGTCTTTCGGAGGTGCTCATAGGGATAGGGTGTGCGTGTGTGCGTTCATAGGGGTGAGTGTATGCGCGTGTATATGAGCGCTTGTGTCTGTACTGATGCTCAAAAAAAAGGAATTTAACTGGTCCTCACACTGGTGGAAAAAGGGCCTTTGGTCGCGGTTCGCAACTGCCATTAGTCGCGGTTGCGCAACCGCGACCAAATAGGCGCGACTAAAGCCCCCCCCCCTTTAGTCGCGGTTGCTTAAGAACCGCGACTAAAGGCCCGTCCACGTGGGCGCCAGGCGGCCGTCGGGGCGGAGGACCTTTAGTCGCGGTTCTTCTGGCCAACCGCGACTAAAGGCCGCCGCAGGTTTAGGGTTTTAGCCCCCCCCCCTAAACCTGTATTCTGTTTAATTTGTATTGTTTTATTTCTTTTGTGCTTTATTTTAATTTTGAAGGAGTTTCACGTATTCTACGGTACTACATACATGCATATGAATGTACAATTTCAAACAAATTTGAAATTAGAACCAAAAAGAATTCAAGAGGAATATACAATATATTCAATATCATCGGATGACCATATACAATTTTGAACAAGTTTCCATACATAATTTAATGCATATAAAGTTCTACGTCCTCGTAATGGTGTTCTCCTTTAGGATGGAGGACTTCCCTCCTGAACCATCCAGCTAGTTCCTCTTGAAGTGGTCGGAAGCGAGCTTCTGGACTAAGCATCATCCGGAGGTTATTCCTCTGAGCATTGGTATCACTCGGAACCCGCTCAGAGGTGTATCTCCGGATCATCTCACAGACATAGTATGCACATAGATTGGTCCCCGCTGGCTGAATATCCTCACCATTCTTAGCCTTTGACCTTTTGAATTCTAGCTCTTTTTTGAATTCATCGACCTTTGTATCTACGAACCGTCTCCAAACCCTACGAGGCAAAGAAAATTAAATGAACAAGAGAGTTATTAGTTACTTGATATTAGGAAATGAACGAAATAGGCCGATCGATATAGAGCGCAAATGAATGAAAATAATTACTTCTGCAGCATTCTTCTCATGCCGCCTCAAAGCTTTGGATCCTTATTCAGAGAGTCGTGGACGGGACATTCTGAGGTGTCAACTTTAATTACTAGCAGAATCGAGTGGAACCTGCGGACATGATACATGCACAGTACGTCATGCATAACTCATCGATTAGCCGGCCACATACCATGCATGAAGTAAACAAAAAAGAATGTGCTCAAGACAGAAACACTCACCCAAAATGGTAAGGAAATAGAATATCACTTTTGAGTTCCTGCTTTGTAAGAAACTGCCACAAGTCTGCCTCCATGTCGGCGGGGTGATGCTCCAACACATATCCATTAACGATGTGTGGGTCAATGAACCCAACATCATGGATGTTCCTTACTCTGCATTCCTTAATCTTCATTCTGCATGTATAATAGCGGACACAACAATATAGTTAGGACATATATATAGTGCAGGCAATATGAACGAGATGGGGTAGAAATAAATCACTTACAGAACGTAGTAACTGATGATAGATTTGTCGAGCTCGCGCAGATTGAAAAGCTGGAACAATTCACTCAGATGAATTTGTACATAGTAATGTTTGAAGTGATGCTCATATCTAACTTCCGCATAAATATATTCTTTGGCGTTTTTATTTTTTATGTAACCCTTGTACCATTTCAGCAGACCTTTCATTTGTGGAGGTAGATCCTCTTCCTGCGCAGGCTCGACGAGAGGCCCATTCTTCACATATGTAATTACTACCTCCTTCACTGGCGCCTCATCAAGGCCTAACAGTTCACGAAGAGTAATACCTAAGTTGGCCGCTTGTTCTCTGGCACTCGTTACAGTCAATCCATGTGCTGCCGCAGCTGCTATGATATCGGGGTCATCCGGACCGGCGGCTTTCACTATAAGCGGGGCAATCGATTGTTTACTTTGTTCCCCGAGCTGGGCAACTTGTTTCCCGCTTTTTTTACTTTCTAATTCCGTTTTCTCGGCCTCCTCCAAGGCTTTGTTCTCCTGGTTCTCCGCCCGCTCTTTCTTCTCCTTCAACATGAGTGCCTGCCTACGAAGTTCACGTGCATAGTCGTCAGGCAGATTCTTCGCGGCTTGGGACGGTGTGCTCAAAAATGACTTAGCCCACTTCTTTTGCTCATCAGAAAATACTGGCTTGGGCTCGGGCTCTCTTTTCTTCTTGCAGTCCGCCTTCCATTTCTCATGATCAGCAGCCGCGGCCGCGGCAGTTTCCTCGGCACTACGTTCCCAAGGCCTTGTGGGGAGAGGCTTCAGTGATGGCTCCGGTACCTTTGTGGTCTTAGGTACATAAGGGTCCGGGTTAATAATCCAGGACTGCTTCTACTTCTTTGCCGGAGGTGGATTGGGGGGCGGCGTCTGATCACCCGCCGGACGAGGACTGGGGGGCGGCGTCTGATCACCCGCCGGACGTTGTGGACTGGGGGGCGTCGGCTGACGTGACGGAGGTGTAGGTGAACCGCCACCACCGTAGGGGGGTGGACTTGTTGTCCTTGGCGCCTCGCCTGGAAACTTGATAAACTTCTTTTGCCATAGAATGAAATGGCGCTTGACATCTCCAAGTCTTTTCTCCCCTTCAGGTGTAGCAATGTCAATCTCCAGGTCCTCAAACCCTTGGACTATGTCCTCCACCGTGACACGAGCATAGCCATCTTGAATGGGGTTGTTGTGGTGGAGTGCTCCAGGTAAACATGGTAAAGCACTGCCGATGGCTACCTTCATGGACATGTTCCCGATAGGATAATACAGATGACATTCTTTCATCTCCTTTATATCGTCCACGGGGTAGCGAGGAGGCTCCGATGCAGTAATTTCGACCACCAGAGGCTCTGGTGCAGTAATTTCGACCACCAGAGGCTCCGGTGCAGTAATTTCGATCGTCGGTGCATCTGCACCAGCCGGTGGGGCCTCCGTGGAAGCCACACCGCTTCTCCGCTGCTGGCTTCTGAGATCCGCTGGATGATCTTCATGCTGCGCCCGAGCTGCATCTCTTTCGG